GGACAATAGGGCGGTGGATGGGGGCCGGTGTCACCGCCTTTGCTACCATTTGGGGGAGAGGAAGCCAAGTTGGAGCCCGGGCGCCGGGGAGAGGCGCTTGTCCCGCGCAGAGCTCGTGGGGGACCGCGCGGAGTTGCCGAGGGCGCGTGCCCGTGGCTTCTTTCTGGGGAGAAGTCGAGAGCTTCACGAGATTCCGGTGGGGTGGGTGATCCATGTGCGCCCCTGGGCTCGGACCTGGGGGCGGCGGGAGTGGCACCTGCCCTCCTGTGCGCACCGCCTGCCTGGCGCGCAGTGGGGAGTGTTCACTCGGTGAGCGGTGAGCGGCAGGTTCCTTGAGCTGGTGGGGGGGGGCGGGGGTCCCGGCTTCCCTGCAGAAAGTTCTCGGGGAACCTCAGAGCTGCGGGTGGAGGCGCTCAGAGCCAGCGCAGACCCGGTGCCGGGGGCTGGGGTCCTAGTGAGAACACAGGGCTCCTAAGGCCCGGGCCACGTCCCCCCAGGTCACACACACACACACACACACACACACACACACACACCTGCCCCAGGGAGATCGCCGGGTCCCCTGCGGTGCCAGCTCCCCCTTTTCACAGAAACGGGCTTAGTCCACAGCCAGGTTTCTCTTCATTTGTTTCCAGAAATTCAAACGGGGGGGGGGGGCTGCTTTCGTCTCTAATTCAGAAACACGCAGGGCACGCCTTGCTCACTCATTTTGCTTTTATTGAGATAAAACATATGCACCACGAAACTGCCCGCTCTCATGGCACGGCCGTCCATTTACAGACTCTTCACCTGGCAAAACTGAAACTCTGTGTTCATTAAACAGTAACCCCCCTCCCCGCCCCCCCACCCGCCAGGCCCCTTTCGCCCGCATTTGCCTACTGCAGACACCGGGCAGAGGCAGGGCCGTGCGGTGTGCGTCCCTCGGCATCACGCCCTCCGGTTTCACCCGCGTGGGGCAGGTGTCAGGACTTCCTTCCCTTTACGGCTGAGGAACAGTCCGGCGTGAGTGTAGGTCGCGTTGGCCCACATCCCTGGATGGGCGCGCGGGTCGCCTCCACCTTCTGGCTACTGTGAACATGGCTGCTGTGAGTTGGGGTGTACAGATGTCTGTTCCAGCCCCTGCTTTCAGTTCTTTTGGGGGATACACCCAGATACTCTACTGATTCACTCACTTTTTTTTTAAATCCTTGTCTGAGGATATTTTTTCCACTGATTTTCAGAGAGAGTGGGAGGTAGGGAGGGGAGAGAGAGGGAGAGGGAGAGAGAAACATCGATGTGAGAGAGACACATGGATTGGTTGCCTCCCACACGTGCCCCGACTGGGGCCAGGGACCGAACCTATAACCCAGGTCCATGACCTTGACTGGGAATCGAACCCGTGACCCTTTGGAGCACGGGCTGGGTCCTAACCACTGAGCCACCAGCCAGGGCTGATTCACTCGCTTTTGACATTGCATTCTCTGAACCTAGGAGGAACCCTTTGGGAACGCCTTCCAGATTTCAAAGAAAAGTAACGACCGCTCCCCCTTGCCCTCTGTTCACGGTCTGTCTCGCTGGATGCCGCTTTCTTTAGTCTTATCTCCTGGTTCCTCCTTGTGGTACGTGGAATATTGATTGGTTCCCCCAAAGATATCCATGTTTCAATAGTGGGAACCTATGACTATTTTACCTTGCATGGTGAAAGGGCTTTATAGATGTGTCAGTTAAACATCTGGAGATAGAGTATCCTGGATTATTCAGGTGGGGCCAATGTAATAACATGGATCCTTATAAGAGCCGGGCAGGAGAACTGGAGTTAGTACTGCAGTAAGTGATGTGTTGAAGGAAATAACATGTTGGAATAGAGTGAATAAGGGGCAAGGACATCTGGACTACTCAGTCTATAAGCTTAAAATTAGTATAAGAACCACAATCAATTAATCAGTCACAGACTCTCGCCGGGAGCCACCCCGAGGCCACTTTTTGCTGATATTCATGCCAAAGACCCAACCTTTGTTATTAGTTTTTACTGGCCCTCCTCCTAATTGCCCTATTATGGGACTCTTAGGTACCAAAACATCTTAAGCCACTACCCTTTGTCACACAGTATTGTGATGTTCCTATGTTGTTCCTGCCTGTGTCCTCCCCTAATTAACTCCCGACTATTACCTACAGTGATGACGGACAATCAAAAACCTCTCCCCCAGATCTGCCC